TGGCATCACCTATTTCACGTTTGCATAGTACAGCAGCAATCTGTTTTCTAAAAACCGGTAACTCTATGGTGAATATAGTTTCTTTGATTTATTCGTTTATGCAGTAAATAGGCATTTATCATAGTCATGTCCAAAATGTGATAAAGTATTCGACTAGACCATTTATTAGTTTTCATTTTGATGTGATATCTGCCTAAAAGACCATCTATCAGGTCAACACCACCCATGTGCGCGTTATATTCGTGGATTACATTTGGACAGTTCACTTCAATTCTCTTTTTTTGTTTACGATCAAAACGGGAGGCTTTTGGAGTTGTTTGTATCTCATTGCTGGTTATAAATGGTTGGATTCCCACATAAGTTGATGCTAGTCGTACACATTTGTTATCCTTCCATAAGGTGGTTGATATATCAACGCAATGGCATGAGCCCACATATTCTTCAGAATATCCGCGTTCTTCTTTTGAAACTTCATTATCTTTAGATAATTTGCATTTCGAAATACGATTTGTTCGAATTGTTCCCAATGAATTTATTCCTCTGCTATATAAATAAGTCATCAATGGCAATGTCGTATAAAAGTTGTCAAAGTAAATGATGTGATTCTGATGGTTAGGTACTATTTGAGACAATCTCGAAACAACATTTGCAGCCGCTCCTAAATCTGGTACTCCAGTCGGAACAACATTATCACCTGCCCCAGTATACAGTTCAAAACCATATGAATAACCATAAGAATCACATAGCACAAATAACTTCATACCCCATTTATGTGGTTTTGCGGGCATATATTGCCGCAAATGTAAAACCATTTTAGTTGAACACATTTGTTCGTCCACGCAAAGACGTTGACTCATTGGAACTGATTGAAAACGTCTGTTGAAGTGATCTACAATGGGTCGTATCTTGTATATAGCATCGAATTCTGGATGATCTTTTGGCAGTAAATTTGTATTGTCATTAAAGTGCAAGAAACGACATATCTCCTCGAATCTGTTCCTTCTCATTGTTTCCCGTATAGGTTCTAACGAGTTTTCAGACCAGCACTCTCGAACATTTGGATATCGATAGACTGACATATAAAATAGGATTCCTACAAATTGTCTTATTTCGTGTGCGGTTGTTGAGAATGTTGTCGAAATGTTTATTTGACGAGCATACAAATTAGTTTCATTTGCTATGTGCTGGTACAAGTCTGCATTAGCAAAATATTCAAAACAATCATATGGAGTTTTAAGCTCACTAAAAGTACTAGGCAAGTCATAGCTTCTTTTGAATTGTATTTGCTTTTTATGAAGTTGTATATGCTTATTTCGCCATATAATATCTTTGAATACAGGGCTTTTTATATCTATTTCACTTGAGGATCCAAGAAACAAATTGCTTGGTACAATTTCTTCTAAACGCTGACGTTTACTGGTTTCTGCACTCGGTCCAGGTAGTGACCGTTTATTGTATTCTGTAATTGGTCCAGGTACTGGCTCAGGAACTTCCGTTGCCGCTTCAGAAGCTTCAATTTCAATTTCTGCACTCAAATTTACGCTATCAATATTTTTTTCTATTATCGATTCACTCACATCCTGACGGACATTGATGGCTTCTTCATTTTCCAAATGTAACTCGGTAGTATTGGAAGAATAAATAAAGTCAGACATTACCTCACTAACTTCATCATCCAAAGAACCTCCTTCATCATCAGTACTCAATTAATCGACTTCCAGCGAGTCTAATAATCCAAATATATCATCTTGCGACATCTCATCGAGATTCAATCGACCTCGCCGGTACATGCCTAAAAATAAACATTATTGAAATCCTTTAAAAAAAGTAAAAAAAACTGCGAGGATAATTGAACCATATACAAATATTATGGCAAACTTTCATTGTTATCTGCCCAAGTCCGCCTTCAGGCGGGCATGACTAATAAGGCCTTTTATATATTTGTTTAGTCAATTTTTCCCTTCATAAACAGTATTCATGCAGAATAATACATTACAAACTTACCTGTAATTTTTAATTTGGATTTTAGTTGCTAGAACTATTTTATTTTTATTTTTAGAAATGTGAAGGAGGCGACGTGACCTTCCACTACCAAATTTCACACTAAACTAAAAATTACCGTAAACATTTGTCAGGCCGGCGAAATTTTGTAACAGCCGGTGCATATCATACCTAGTCTAGAGGCTGGTTTGGGTATTGCAGCTATAAAATACTTAAATAGTATTTCTGGGAACTTTTTTTATGGTCCGCCTTGAGGCGGACTGGGGCACTAGAGGGTTAATTTATCGGTCTCTCTTCTCTCTGCTTATGTGAAAGTAGCATCAAATTTTCACAAGAGTAGCAATCACAAAAGAAATTTAAATCGTCTAAATGACATAGTAGCAGGAACAATTTCTGTTCCTAGTCTATCTGTTGCTTAAAACTCGCTGAAATGTTTTCGCGCCATATGTCTAAGCCCAGATATGTACAGCAGTCCTTAAAAAGTGTTAATGTCTGCTTTTGAGATAGATCGCGCGTCATGTTTGTCCTTTTAGTTACAAGCAACTTTCACAATATACAGGTTGGTGTATCATACAACAAAATCAGTTACTTTATTAAAGAAAACATTCCATGCATCAATGAGTAGCTCTGTAACTATCAGTGTCGGTTTCAAGCCCAGATTAAGGATGAGGTTTTGCGTCAGGAAGTGCACCCGGCATTAACCATAAAAAGAAAGAATATGGAAAATAATTTAGAGGCTAAGGCGTTCCCTGTAAGCGGCGCGGCGAGTTGCAGCCTCGCCTAATCTAGAGGTATGACCGCGAAAAGTAAGCTAGAGCGTCCCTTTGAGGAGGAAGGGCCCAAACAAGCTAGTCCTGAGATTTGCAACTTGGTAAGTACGACAGGTAAAGAAAGCGAGATCATGCATATGAGAAGAATTGGTGTACTTTGTGCGCAGGACACTCATTAGAAAGATAATATGTCGAGAGATCTTGGAGATTCTTCTTCTTAGGGTGCCTTTCCTTTCCGAACGTTGGCGATCATTCTGGCTATGATGAGTTTGTTGGTTGCTATATGGAATAGTTGTGTTAAGGTCTTCTATATTTTGCTCTCAAGTTAGCAAGCTAGGATAGTCTTCGTCGTCCTGGGGACCTTTTTTTTAAATTTACCTTGAAAGCTGCATTGGAGAAGCTCATGTCTGCCTTGATTTCTCATTATATGTTTCAAGTACTGCAGCTTACGGCCCTTCATGATGTTGACCAAATCCGCGGCTGTATTCATCCTCCATAGTACTTCTTCATTGGTGAATTTTTCTGTCCATGGTCTCTTCAGGATCCTTCTGTATAACCATAGCTCAATTCCCACGTTTCTACTCCGTACAAAAGCACTGAGTTCACGTAACATTTAAGGGGCCTTATTTTTGTTCTAGAGTGAGGTCATGGCTCTTGAACACAGAGCTCATAACTCTGTGTTCAAGAATATCAAGTATATTTATATCCTGTCCATATGGTCTACTTGTTTCCGTTATTTTGTTTATTAAGTTTTGCAGCCCTTCTATGGTATTGAAAAACACCGACAGGATGATCGTGGAGATGGATTTAAGTTAATATATAGTAGTTCGAATAGTCCTGGAAGAAATAGAGTAGGTATTATTTTGAATAACGAATGGAAGGAATATCTTGTAAGGGTAACCAGAAGAAGTGATAGAATAATGACTGTCCAACTGAATACAGGCAATACTATCGTGAACATCATATGTGTCTATTCCCCACAGGTAGGTTGTGGCGAATAGGAAAAAGAAGAATTTTTAATGGCCCTTGATTGCGAGAAGCTCGAAATTTCTGTAGGGAAAAAATTTTATTGGAGGTGAGTTGAATGAACATATTGGTAGAGAAAGAGCGAGAATAAAAATAGTTACGTTATTTATGAAGGCAAAATGTTATCTATAGTAGTGAGGGAAAGGAAAGTCAGATAGATTTTGTGATGTATACTGTGTTACAGCACAACTGTAAAGTGGTAAAGGATCAGTGAGCTAGTCAACATCGACCGGTGATTTTAGATATGGAGATGAAGGTAAGACGGAAGGAAAGAAAAGCAAGTAGGACACTAGTAAGTGAAGTGGTGGAAGTTAAAGGATAAGGTTTTGGCAATAAGCTTTAAAAGAAAGCTGAAAGAGCTTCATGAAAAAGATACGGTAAATGACTGGTGGAAAGGTTGTGGTACGAGTGAGAGGAAGTGCTTTCGACATCCTTTCTTATGTCTTCTTTAGAGCTTCCGAGGTCTCAGCGTCCCGAGTCCCTAGACATTACTACACGGATACTGGAAGCCTTGAAGAAGACATATCAGAGAGGATGCCGAAAGCTCGGCGCAATGAAAATCAACGCGGTTCAACCCAAAAGACTGGTGAGTTTATATTAATTTTTATAATAGTATTTATCTTAGCTCCAGGCTTAATATATATATATATATATATATATATATATATATATATATATATATATATATGGTCCATCAAGTTAATAAAAAATATATACGTTCTATCAGGTGAGGACTCTATGCACCATAAGCGATATATTTTAAATTATGTGTACCTTTTGTTTTAATTTGCACAAAAATGTATATTTATGAGTTAAAAAGGTATAAGTATAAAGTAGAGTATCAGACGCACTTGTTCGCTGAAGGGTTAAAATAAGAATAAAAAAATATCTTAACCTACATAAAGGCTGCAGATATTTTATTGAAATGATATTTATATCCATATTTTAACATCTCTTACTTTAAAATTTATCAAATGTTCCATATTTGCAACAACACAATTTACGTTTATTCAGATGATTAAACGTTACTGCTACCTGTTAATTCTTTCATGTTGCGCGGTATTTCGATTCAAATGATCAATCATATTCTAAACGACTAAATAGCTACGATTCATTTAGTTTAAGAAAATAAACAAAGTAATTTATGATTTTTGTCTTTCTGTAGATATTTCTGTATCTAATTTTTAAATCTTTGTGTATTAGGTGGCAGACAACTATGGACGAAAATAATGATGTACATATTAGTCACCCCGTAACTAATTTTGAATTTCTATATGAACCATTTTACATTGCACCAGACATAGTACCACCACATGATGAACGGTTTATAGGATATGGATATACTAGAAACAGTCAGGTAATTAACAAAACCGAAACCTGTAAGTTCAACTAATTATTTTTCCGTTCTTGTTGTTATACAAAAAGTCTTTTTAAATTTAATTTAACAAAGTTATCATGCCCTTATTATATAACGTAACTTAGTTATCAAACCTTAAGGCTGCTTTCGCAGTTATACCACACTGCGATTTGAAGTAGGCGTATCATTTACTTTTCTACACTGCTTATGTCAGGACCTACGTGACTTCCTAATTTGAAATCTGCAGTGTTAAGGCTGTTTTATCAGTGCCTAGGAACCTAGTAACTGTTATTTACCGACAAAATGTCTCGAAATTTGGACACAATATTCGAAACTATGTTGCTTTTAAAATCATGGTTTTACTTTTTTTATCTTTTGTTACTTCTGTTGAAAAATTTGATTATACTGTTTAACGTTCTATTATAACCAAACTTTTTACGCCCATCGCTTGAAAGAGTTTTTTTTCTGTAATTGTTGATTTTTTTTCACCTTTCTGTGTCCAGTAATAATCGAGAAAAGCGTGTTCAAACTTTGAAGAAAATTGCTAAAAAATACTTAAATCTAATAGTGAAACGTGTTACTCATCATTGTCGTTAAGGTTCATCGTTATCGCCTTCGTGACTTCAAATCTCATGAGCGTACGGTCAGTTAGTTCGTGTTAAAACTAATTTGAATTGAGAGTAATGCATTTGTTGCCCGTTGGCCGACGCCACTGAGTAAAGATAGTCTCGCGTAAGCAGTGTCGCAGTGTGCTTGAACTGCTAAAACAGCCTTAACTTGTTTCGATGTTTACTCAGTGGCGCCGGCCCACGGATTGTTTAATGACAATAAATGCATTATTCTCCATTCAAATTAGTTTTGTCGGAATACTTTTTTAGATTGATTATCGTAGATAATGTTTTAAAAAGAATTATCACATTTTTAAGTTATATGTCTTAGCTAACTATAGTATTGAATAAAAATTTGTGAAACGTGACTGCAAAAAACACCAGGGTGTTTATTTATAATAAATTTAAAATAACATAAGAATATTATTATCAAAAAAATTACAATTTGTTATCACAAACAAATAAACAATTTCGCAGTTATAGCTTTAAAATGATTTCAAGAAGTTATTTAGTAATTTATACCACTAAACTAATAATATATTACTTAAACATACCCGTAACCTAAAGAATTTCAATGTTTTCAAAATAAAGAAGAATACTGTAAACTGTAAAAACTAAGCAAGTTGATAAGGAAAATACAAGAATGAAAAACTGAAAATGGATTCTGATTCAAGCGAACAACTGACCGTACCGTACGTTCATGAGATTTGACGTTACGAACGCGATAACGGCGACAATGATGAGTAACACGTTTCACTATTAGATTTCAGTATTTTTTAGCAATTTTCTTCAAAGTTAGAATACGCTTTTCTCGATTATTACTGGACACAGAAAGGTGAAAAAAAATCAACGATTATAAAAAAAACTCTTTCAAGTGATGGGCGTAAAAAGTTTGGTTATAATAGAACGTTAAACAGTATAATCCAATTTTTCAGCAGAAGTTTCAAAAAAATTAAAAAAGTAAAACCATCATTTTAAAGGCAACATAATTTCGAATAACATGTCCACATTTCGAGACATTTTGTCGGTAAATAACAGAGAAAAAATTTTGGTGAACTGATAAAACAGCCTTAACAAAAAGAAGCAAAAATTTACAGATATGGGCATACCACTAACAGATCCTGTTCTGTCCCTCACACATGTTTCTAATTGTTTCTTTATTAAGTATTTTTATATTTTCTTTTATATTTATTTCTTTAATTATTAACGTGTGTGTATGTCTTTACTTACGTTATCTAATACGGTCCTGTAGACATCCGCCCTTATTAAGAGACACGAAGAAGATTTGGCGTGCACACACATAGCTTAGATAATATTAGTGTTAATTAAAATATTACAATGTTGGTTCTTATATTAATCAGATTTTGAAACAAAACAATGAAAAAAATCAGTTTTAACCTGAAACTCATGAAGAAACTCAAGATTAAATAAATTAAACAAACAATTCTCTAAAAGACCCTCCTAAAATATTATATAAGAAGAAGAACAGGAATTTCCATAAATCCTATACTTAATTACTTTAATTACAAGACATAATACACAGATATGTCTGCTATTAACCGTAAAAAACAAAAATAATCAATAAATTAGGCAACCCTCACGTTATAGTTCGATGACATTCATGTAGAAGACGAAACAGGTGCATTTGGTATGATCTTTTTCTAATCGCCAAACCAGCCGTCATCTTCTGACAAAATAAAGGGATAAAATACTGACACAAGGTAGATATCCTATGGAACCTGGCACTGAATGTGCGGATCATCATTGAAAAAAAAAATTGATGTGTGAAATAAACTGCTGGCGAGATTCACAAAATATGTGAGTTTGTTGATCATAACTGAACTACATATATATACACGTATAATATACAAATTACACTGTCCAGCTATGGAGACCTGGACAAAGAAGTGAGAGATCAAGTAAAAAAAGCAAATAGACTGTCAGTGTGCCTTAATCACACTTATATGGCGAAATAGACGCATTAACCAGTTGCGGATCCAAGGGGGGTCACGGAGGTCATGACCACTCCCCAAACAAAATTAAATATCAATCAAATAATCCTAAAAAGAAATAATTTAAAACCCATCAACCCTACAAACAGGAAGTGAAGAGTTGAAATGATTCAAACTCATTTATTCTAGTTGTAAGTGTAGAATTATTCGGAAGTCTTTTTACATTGCTCTTTTAACAAATCAATAATTCTGAATACAGTAATATCTCGACTAACGCTACCCCGACTTCCGCGAATTTCAAATTTTGTCAATTCGTCATTTGAGTGCCAAAGAATCGTTTGATTATCGATGAGATATAATTACCGCCCAAACATTATTGCTTATTCAATGTACATGACATGACTTTTCGTATTTCATAGTTTTCGCTGAAAATGTTTTTTACTTCTCCTGAACATTTTGTTTTATTTGACTTGACCGGTTTATACATTGGACCTTTCAATTTATATTGAAGTCTCTCCATGCAATATAGAGGACACTCCAGTAAAATATGCAGAGCACTGAGTAGAATATGTTTGTTAATTATAGTGAAATTCATTCAATTATCTGTTAATATCATATTCTTGTTGGATTGTTTCAGGTGTATGAAATGTTCGTAGCCGGCTATGAGTTCCATGTTCTTTCACCTATCTTCACGTGCCATTGGGGTCTACAAGTAAAAAAATCACGACCGCCGTGGCGAGAACACCAAAACAATCTTAACAGAAAACATTTTGACGGATTCAAAAGGGAAGTATTCGCCCGATACAACAGAGATCCACTTAATTTCATGGCCTCGAAGAAAAATTGATGGTTCAGATTTTTGAGAACGTTTTTATGGGACCAACGACCTGCTTCGAGAGATTATACTATCCGTAGATTGTAAAACGACTTTTAAAATATTCCTACGTGCACAGATACTACCAGCAGTATTAGTATTTTTGAATATAGACAGCAGATACACTTATTTCTCTAAACTTATTGATAAAGTGCAATTTTTAAATAAAAATTAAGCATAATCAAAGTGGATAATGATACATGATAATAAAAGTTTTGAGCATCAACTGAATAGTAATTATTATAAATTATTGCACAATTTGTGTTACGTAATTCGTTATGGTTTATAATTATTTTGTTTTGTTTAATTATTTGATATTTTTTTGTTCGCCTCATATTTTACCTTTTCTTCGATATTATTTTCTTAAATATAGTGTAGAGATTTCTTAAATTGGGATATATATATATATATATATATATATATATATATATATATATATATATATATATATATATATATAGTCCGTACCAAACCCTTTTTTTAGTAGTGTCATAGTTGATCGATTCTCTCTAACGCCTTAAGCTAGAAGTGACAGAAAAAAACGTGAGTCTGTGATTATAAAACATAGAACGTAGAAAATTATATTTCGGGTACGGATATTTGCATATTAACCGAATTCTACTTACGGATGTGATGTATAATTGGCTAGAATTTAGAATACGCTAAATGGATATCCAAATATTCACAAAATTAAACTATTTGCTGCCACAGAAACTTATCGGAAAATTACTTATCCGAATATGACTGATTTCAATCGATGCTATTTTATGACAGGAATGTTTACCTTGATGTCTTGCAGTTGCCAGTAAAATATTTTTCCGCAAATCGCCAGGAAATTTTGACATTCCTGTCAAAATTTCTTGAAGAAAAAGTCAGGACTTCCTTACTGTAAGGAAATGATATTTCCGTACAGTTGTTAGTGTTCTACATAATTGATAGAAAAAACATTGCTTATAAGGAATTAATTTATATTTTGAAAACATCAAGTCATTGCTGAATACATTTTTAAGATCAATTTGTTATATTTACAGTAATTTGACAGTTAGTACAATTATTGAACATTGGAAGAACACTCTTAGAACTATGAGAAACATTTTGGACAACATGCAGGGTGGAAGTGTCATTTTGTTGAATATTTTGTACTGTGAAAATTTTATTTGCCACCTTAACCTTATTGTTAAGCGATTCTTCGATATATCCTTCAGCAACGTTTGATGACTTCCATCCGCCATGCCTCTTTAAACTAGTTATGTCGGCACCAGAGAACATTTTATCATTTTACTTTCGAGAACACCAGCAATTAAATTTATAAGCGTCAAGTTTGACAATTCAACCTCAATACGTTTCCATAGTAACCCAAGTAATTTTATTAGAAATTTCAAAGCACCATTTATTTGGGAATAAAATTATCGCGTTTTTTTTAAATCAATCAATATCTGTCGAATTTTAAACGATTTGCGGAAAAATAGTATGTTTACCTCGTAGGAAAAGCCACATTCCTGGACTCTGTGTTGCTAAGTCTCGGCTTGCGCCTCGACTTAGCAATCTTCACAGTCGTCCAGGAATGTTAAGCTTTTCCTACCCGGTAAACAATGTACTATTTCCGCAAATCGCCAGGAAATTTTGACATTCCTGTCAAAATTTCTTGAAGAAAAAGTCAGGACTTCCTTACTGTAAGGAAATGTCATTTCCTTACTGTAAGGAAATGATATTTCCGTACAGTTGTTAGTGTTCTACATAAATGATAGAAAAGTTTGACAATTCAACCTCAATACGTTTCCATAGTAACCCAAGTAATTTTATTAGGAATTTCAAAGCACCATTTATTTGGGAATAAAATTATCGCGTTTTTTTTAAATCAATCAATATCTGTCGAATTTTAAACGATTTGCGGAAAAATAGTATGTTTACCTCGTAGGAAAAGCCACATTCCTGGACTCTGTGTTGCTAAGTCTCGGCTTGCGCCTCGACTTAGCAATCTTCACAGTCGTCCAGGAACGTTAAGCTTTTCCTACCCGGTAAACAATGTACTATTATCTCGCAATCGACTCTTAAAATATTCTAGGAGAAAGCCGGTTTTTAAATAAACAAACATTCCAATTCTATAGTGTTTATAATAAATAATAATAAATCCATAAATAAATCTTAGATACCTAAGCACTGTCCTTGGAATGTATAGAATAGGAATTATGACAATCTGCCTTTCCAAGTTTTTACTTCATATTTAAAAAAAATAACCTTCTCGCATTTAGCCGATGACGACATTCTTAAAATCCTATATGACGTCAAAATTAGTGACGCACTGAAAGAAGGGTTTGGGACAGACTGTATATATATATATATATATATATATATATATATATATATATATATATTATAATATATATATAAGTTTTCAAGTAATTATCTCCACTTTATTTCTTTCAAAAACACCAAAGATACCGCCCATGTAAACATATTTATATATTAATGACAGTAAACAAAGGCTTCAATTTTTCTGTCACACCTCTTTTAATCCCAACTGAGAAAATTATTTGTCAAACTGAAGAAGCTATTTCTCATCTTTCTTCTGACCAAGCCGAAATTACCAGACAAGATTTTGCCAAAATTCTCCGTACTTCCAAACCCTCACCGTTAAATATCAGTCTTTCAGAAAGACGCGCCCTCAAAGAACTTTATAACAACCCTGACCATTTCAGCAACCGTTTTAGTACTTACATTTATATTATTCTCCACAGCATCTAAAATGTCGTCTTCTACACTTAATCGACGAATACTTCTTGTTCTTCTGCTTTTTTTTTTCGGTACAACAGAACCCGTTTCTAATAATCTTTGAGAAACATTCACAAAAGTTCGAGCAATAGGAGTTCGCCTTTACATAAATTCGACATAAATTTGGACAGCTAAATTACTGCTGCACTGCGCCTCTTCAATAATAATACATGGTACTCATGAATCGAAGACATTTTCGCGGTAACACTAAACAGTATTGTTACAAAATATCTGTTTACTAAAGTTGTGAATGTCTATACTTACCATTCTAATCTAACTTTGATCATTATTTCCAAACTCGTCAAAACATACGACATCAAAGAGATTGGCCTATATGATTATACCAAGTTGGATCTTTATTTCTTTTAAGGATTGGTATGACAATAACAGTTTACATATCAACTATCAATATATCGATATCATATATCAATTGATACATAATATCAATTTCTGAATCTTTAAGTAATATATTTTTCGCTATATTTAGGTTTTTAAGCTTAGGATATTCAATATTATCATAACCCGAAGCGGTGTTAGACCTATTGATTAGCGCAAATTCAAGTTTTTTTTTTAATGTAAATGAATTTGGAAGAAAGTGACTTGAAGTTATAAGTTTATTTTGAATTTCTGTAGTACTATTAACCGATGGAGGTGCTATTTTGTCAAAAAATTCTTTAACTAATTCATAATTAAGATTAAAACTTTTTTGTTTTAGCCATTACTTCCTGACATCTTTCATAATTAGCGTTATTAGAGTTAGTTTTATATGTTTTTAAATCATCTTTCCTGGATCAGTTATTACGTGCTAAGACGCGTTATTACTACTTTCTATTAGGACGTCATATTTTTCTGAGGTAAACAAGCTGCCAGAATAGTTAAGTAAATTTTGTCCAATCAGACAGAATATTGGGACCAATTAGCTATATTAACATTCCATTTGGACTTTGGAAAAATGTATTCATTACCAATATTAGCAGAAAAAAGATTCATTTAAACTACATAATGTAAATAATGTTTAAAAAATGTGTTAAACTGTTTTTGTTGGCGACCGCAGATCTACAATTCCATTGCATGATTTTAAATCTAAGACAGAGAAAATTATGTAAACTTTTTTGTGCCCTGCAATACAGAAGTAATTTCATGAATTATTAATATTTAAATGGGAATAAGCCACAATTAAAGGTTAAAGTACGTTTATTGACGTTTCAATTTCCACTTCGGAAATCGTTCTCAAAATACAAACATTACTAATAAGACTGTTTGCATCATGTATAGAAGCTGCTTAATTCTCTCCTTAATTATCATCCTACCAATTCCCCTTACTTGAAGGATATTAGAAATTCCTAGTTTTTGTACAAAATATGGCCTATTGTAATTGGATGTAAGCGACCAAGATCTATGTTATCTATCCTTTCAATATAAACGAAAATATTTTTAAGACTATACTTATCTGAATTTATGTTAAATCCACTATTGGGTACCACGTTTTCAGGATGAATTACTTCAGATGACCTCATATTGTTGACTTAAAAGTGTCCTATATGGAATTGCTTTAAATTCAACAAAATAAACTTTAAAATGCGAATTATTTAAAAATGCGTCATTTAAGTTTCAGCAAACTTCTCTGGAACAGTCACTATTATTTACTTTATTCAAAGGTAACAAAAAGAACGGGTTTATATACATATTTTATTAGGGCAAGCAACAATTAATTAATACATATTTCACAAAACATTTACTGATGCAAGAAGTATTATCATTTTTATTTTAAACACCAGTTTTATTTCTTATCCACGAACGAAAGAATGCCACTTCCGTGTAGAATGTGAATTTTTTGTTTTTATCACTACCACCGCCAGATACCAATCCCAGCAGTACACCGTTATGTTCTAAAGGACCTCCTGAATCGCCCTGAAATGTTTTATGATTATCAATTGTTAGGAAAAAATTTAATATTCAAGAATGTAAATTATATCAAAAAAATTGTGCTAACCGGAAGCTTTTATGAAATATGGCAGTAAAATAGTGAATTATGATTTTAAAAAGCGCAAAGTTACCATAAAAATTTATATGGATTGGTAGGTATTTCCCCACTTCCCCACGAAAAATATTTTCTGAACCGGATGGTCCAATAAGCCGATATCTCGGCTACATATCAGAAACTATTCATGTTATAACTTTACGAGAAAAAATTCCTTGGTAAAAGTGGTCAAGAGAAATCGCTGCAAATAACTTTCAAGTTTCTGGGTTAACCGCTAGGGGGCGTAACCTGTGAAGAAAAATTTGAAAACCAGTTTTTTTGAGAAATATCCCCAATTATACCAAGTGTTAAGTAAACTAGGAAGATGCCTAAATTCCGCACAAAGTTGTTTAAGCCCTTTTTTATTTTTTCAAATAAAGGGTGGGGGAGATTGGGAAAGTATTTGT